TTTCCCTCCATGAAATTGTGTGTTTCTTCTTCCGGCTTGAGAACCCCCACTCTTTTTTTTTTTTTTTAAAGATTTTATTTATTTGACAGAGAGAGACACAGCGAGAGAGGGAACACAAGCAGGGGGAGTGGGAGAGGGAGAAGCAGGCTTCCCGCGGAGCAGGGAGCCTGATGCGGGGCTCGATCCCAGGACCACAGGATTATGACCTGAGCCGAAGGCAGACGCTTAACGACTGAGCCACCCAGGCACCCCGAGAGCCCCGACTCTTAACATCAACTCCTGTATTCATTTGCTCAGTCATATAATACATCTAAAAGAGTTTCAGAATCATTTTGCTAATACCAGCACATAAACAAACCTACTAAAGACAGTTCAGAACTTGGTTGAATCTCTCTTCCTACCCGCCCCCCCCAATCAGTGCCCCACCAGCACCTTCTTCACCATCACATCCTAGCAAGGTTGTTAGCTGGCAGGGTAATGGTAACAGGGAGGGGCAGAGCCCTTGAGGAAAAGGAGGGGGTGTAAAATAGCCCTGCAAGGGGGAAGCTGAGGGAACTTCAGTTTCAGAAGCAGGAAGTTAATTTCAGAGGCTGGAGGGGATCCATGAGCAGTGGCCCCAGTTCACTTGAGGGCATGTTTTCTTGCAGCCATCTTGACAGCCTGGGTGTAGGAGTAGAGAAGACAGATGGTTGGGATGGCTAGACTGATCCAACATTGGGGAACTACCAGGTGGATGTGGCAGAAGGACAGAGAGCGAGGACTCCGGGGTGCTGGCAAGAGAATGGTTGACATATGTGCCCTGCAGTCTGGGCTGAATGGGGGAGGAAGTGAAGCCAAGAGGGAGAAAGAGTCACTGGGATGTGGTCTGGGCTGCGAAGGGGTTTATTGAAGTAATTGCTGGTCACTGAATCCCACGGTCTAGGAGTAGCCAGTTCAGGGGACTGGGAGGAGCGATGGCTTGGACCAAATCTGGCTGGGGGCAAGATGGAAGGGGCTGGACTTCGAGCAACCAAAGAACCTTTGTTTCCCCAAGGAGCAGAGGCTGAGAGAGAAGACCACCCTGGCCCGGCCTGAAGAGGGAGGCTGTCTCGGGCACAATAGTGTCTGATCAACAGCTGTGAGAAGTGTTAAAATAAATGCGATTTTGTAAAAATGAAGAGACCTTGGAGATTATTTTCCCAGGACAGTCGCTTCACTTTAAGGGCAGGAAACAGGTCCACACCTCCTCCCCCCGCCCCAGCCTGGGTAGCGTTCAGACCAAGGGGCTTTAAATTTAAGTTGGTGGCTTTCTTTAACCCACCACCACGTTCTGAAGATAGCAGAATGTCTTCCCGACTGGTTTGTTGTAGCGCAGAACGAGTCTTGGTTTCCTACCTGGGTTTGAAGCACAGGGGCAGGCATGGTGTTCCCACGTGTTGGTCACTGCTTGGTGCATTCTTTTTGATGGATGAATCGGTGGGAAGAGTGCATATCTTAGGGAAGAAGGATCCCAGGGAGTCCGAATTTCCTGGTAGCATTCTTTCTTTTCTGTATTCTTGGGGATCTTCCTTTCTTTTGACTCTTATTAAAGCAAGCATTGCTCTGGACATGTGGTGTATGCTTTGTCACCAGAGCTTTGTCTGTAAGATGTACTAATTAAAACAATGCTTTTCTCAACCCAGTTTCACAAGGAAGCTTGTTTCTTGAAGACCATGAGCTGCACAAAGTTAAGTTGGAACCCACTTAAAGGGGAAAATTAATTCAGAGCTTCCTTTTATTTGATCAGGCAGCGTCAGGGTGAGGAAAAGGGGACAAAGATGCTGGGCCTCAGCAAGCATTAACAGAGGCGGGCTTATCTTCCCCAGGAACATTCCACTAAGAAATAGAAAGGTCCCTGATGGAATGTAGCTCGGCTAAACCTAGCCAGGCCTTACAGTTTGCCTTTGTAGTTTAAAGGACAGAGAAAGCTTGTCGTGTCAAAGGCATCCTGTGCAGAAGGTGCCAAGTCTCTGAGCTCTGGAAACATCTCTGCTATTCTAGGTAATGAAAGCAGAACTAGTCTGAGAACAGCCTGGAAAACCAGAAGTAGCAGTTCTGTTTCTGTAAAGTAGAGCCCTTTGTGTGGCATTTTTGCTGAAAGCTGGGATCAACATTGCTGACAACATAACTAAACCGGAGATCACTGGTACAATCGGAGTGGCCAGGTACTAGGAGATCTCCAAAATCCTTGCACCTTTTTATTTTTTTATTTTTTTTTAAAGATTTTTTTTATTTGAGAGAGAGAGAATGAGAGACAGAGAGCACGAGAGGGAAGAGGGTCAGAGGGAGAAGCAGACTCCCTGCTGAGCAGGGAGCCCAATGTGGGACTCGATCCAGGGACTCCAGGATCATGACCTGAGCCGAAGGCAGTCGCTTAACCAACTGAGCCACCCAGGCGCCCTCCTTGCACCTTTTTAATCACCAAAAAAAAAAAAACAAAACCCAAAAAACAAAAAACCTATTTTTTTTTCAAGGAGACTCTATGCAGAGTTCCTATATCTAATGTTCCATCAGAAACTCACCTTACCTGTTTGGACGTGTTTCTGCCACTTTTAAGAGGTGTTGTCACTTCTCCAAAGACAGTGGAGGTGCTCTCCACTGAGGACAGCAGTTGTGACCACACGGTCCCAAAAGTAAGACTGCTAAAGAAAATATGTTCACCTGAAATCCATCTTGAATCTTAAAAAATGCTATCAGTGACTATGCATTTGATTTATAAAGAAAACAGAGTATGAAATACATTGTTTCGGGGCACCTGGGTGTCTCAGTGGTTGAGCGTCTGCCTTCGGCTCGGGTCATGATCCCGGGGTCCTGGGATCGAGCCCCGCATCGGGCTCCCTGCTCGGCGGGAAGCCTGCTTCTCCCTCTCACGCTCGCCCTGCTTGTGTTCCCTCTCTCGCTGTGTCTCTCTCTGTCAAATAAATAAAATCTTTAAAAAAAAAATTCATTATTTTTCCCTTTTCCCTTTAAAAATATGTATACATTTTAAGTAATCTCTATGCCCAATGTGGGGCTCAAACTCAGGACCCTGAGGTCAAGAGTCGCATGGTCTACCGACTGAGCCAGCCAGGCACTGCCCCCGACCCTAACCTTTGTCGACAACTGTTGAATGTCAAGTTGATCTTGGCCTCTGACCTGACTAAAATGCTTTTTTCCCCTTTTCCCTGATTCCATTCTCACGATTCACTCTTAGTGATCAAGATGCTTTGGGTTGTTTGTCCTGCAGCAGGAGATTTGTTATGTCTACACAGAATCAATTATCTTAGTTTGTCATTTTTAAAAAAAATTTTTAAACTATTTTTTTAAAGATTTTATTTATTTATTTGAGAGAGAGAAAGCACATAAGGGGAGGGAGGGTCAAAGGGAGAAGCAGACTCCGGGCTGAGCGGGGAGCCCGATGCGGGCCTTGATCCCGGGACTCCAGGATCATGACCTGAGCCGAAGGCAGTCGCTTAACCGACTGAGCCACCCAGGCGCCCTTAGTTTGTCATTTTAAAGTTTCCAGCTAGAGGCACCCCTCTCAGCCTCCTACCAATAGCACAATGAGGGGCACCTTAGTGGCTCAGTCGGTTAAGCATCTGCTTTCAGGTCCTGGGATCGAGCCCCGCATCAGGCTCTCTGCTCCACAGGGAGCCTGTTTCTCTCTCTCTCTCTCTCTCTCTCTCTCTCTCTCTCTCTCTCTCTCTCCCCCTCTGCCTGCCACTCCCCCTGCTTGTGCTCTCTGTCAAACAAATAAATAAAATATTTTTAAAAAAAAAGCACAATGAGAAATGACAGGCACTCTGACTGCTAGACGCTGTAGCATGTAAATGCGGGGTGGGGCACTTCTCCCTAATCCCCGGAGCAGGAAAGCTTGCCTCTCTTCTAAGGAAAACATACAGCTGCTCCTTTGCAGGTCTGTGAGCTGAGCAGGGCTCAACTTGAGCCACACCACGTTTGGGCGACTACCAGATGTGGAGGCTGTGCCTGGACTGCGTGGATTCTCTCCCTTTTGCCCCTTCAATATCTGAGCATCCAAACTACATCTCAGGAAGCTTCCCCCCTGCCCCCATCTCAGGAAGTTTTTTACTTTCAAAAAGTACTTAAAGGGGCACCTGGGTGACAGTGAGTTAAGCGTCTGACTCTTGATTTCAGCTCAGGTCATGATCTCAGGGTCCTGAGATCAAGTCCCGTGTTGGGCTCTGTGCTGAGCGTGGAGTCTGCTTGAGATTCTCTCCCTCCCCCTCTGCCCATGATCATAACCCCACAGATCTTGATTGCTTAAGCAGGCAAAATTTTATCAATCCATCACTCCAAATAGTTTAATGGGTGAAGTACAATAACTATTTTATGATTCTTTTCTATACATTGTCGCCAACTCTTACCAATCATCTCAGACCATAAATCCTCAGTGTTGAATATAAAAGGGCATGTTTTATGAAAAATCTCGTAAATTTGGGGGAAGAATCTGATCACATATTGATTTTTTTAAAGATTAACTTATTTATGTTTTAAGATTTAATTTTTAAATTTTAGAGATAGAGAGTGCACGTGAGATGGGGGGAGAAGCAGAGGGAGAGGGACAAGCAGACTCCGAGCTGAGCGCAGAACCCGAAACAGGGCTCAATCCCACGACCCTGAGATCACGACTTGAGCTGAAATCAAGAGTTGGAGGCTTAACTGACTGAGCCACCCAGGTGCCCCTGCATATTCTGATTTTTTATTCCAAAAATATCATCATACTGGGGTACTTTTTATAAACTTTATCCAAAATTATTTGAAGCAAAAACAAGTATTTCCGAACAACTTTCAAAGGTTTGCCCTCAGCGGTAAACCTTTGAAACAGTAACTGTTTAGGGATTTGTCTTTGAAAGATATCCTCTTTGGGACAAAAAGTGGGGTTTTGGCTGTGTGCTTTCTAGATACTTAAAATGCTGAGTTTTCTGGTGTGAGTTTAGGTTTTAGGGTGTGAGTAAGGTATGGAATAGGAGAAGGGCAGAGGCTCGCTTTGGCAGCACATACACTAAAGTAGTTACAGATACTGAGAAGATTTAGCATGGCGCCTGCAGAAGGAAGACACGGAAGTTCATGAAGTATTCCCTATTAGAAACCAAACCAAACAAACAAAAAAGAGCTCCGGCAGGTATCATCACCTTTAAAAAGACTCATGCAGTGTGTGAGGCAGGATGTGGGGTGGGCAGTATTTGGGAATTCTCTGTACTGTGTCCTCAATTTCTCTATAAATCTGAAACTGTTCTCAAAATAAAGTCTATTAAAAAAAAAAAGGGACACCTGGGTGGCTCAGCTGGTTAAGTGTCTGCCTTCTGCTCAGGTCATGATCCCAGGGTACTGGGATCAAGCCCTGCATCAGGCTCCCTGCTCGGCCAGGAGCCTGCTTCTCCCTCTCCCTCTGCCCTTCCCCCTCACCCCCGCTTGTGATCTCTCTCTCTGTGTCAAATAAATAAATAAAATATTAAAAAAAAAGCACAGACGCTGGACTTGTACTAAAATTTGTGTTGCCATGTGGTTCTAATCATTAGTCATCCAGGTCATGGTGGTAGCTGACGGAGTTTACAAGTGATAGTGAAAAATACACCGGGAAACTTTCAATTCGATGTGATAGGAAGAGGGGAAAGTGAAAACAGGAGGCCTGGCATGCATTCAAGTGACCCTTCTTCAACATGACCCCAGCATGTGGACATGGCAGGCTGCAGTTGCTGCTCGAGAGAAAGCTAAAAATATAAAACACCTGTTCACGTAAGGTGATGCAGTTAACCGATCAAAGGAAACAACTGGCTAGAGAGAAAGAATTTTAATCAGTGGGTTAAAAAATGTACGTAACCGTGTTGAACATAATATATGTCATACTAAACTCCGGCTAATACATGAATTGTTTTCTCTATGTGGTAACACCTTAGCATGAGCAAACCTGAGAAATCATTGACCATTCATTGCTAGAAAGCTTTGACAGAAGACTTTTTTTGAACAAAGCACACTCCCAGAATATGTTTAAAATAGAATTTGAACTCTTAAAATTGATTTGCACATAATTTTAGAGAGAATGTCTACTGGTTAAAATGTATATCTGGGCTCTAGGTTCAGGAGCACACACTTCAATTTCTGACAAAGGAAGCTTTTCTATACATCATAATAAAATTTTACTTTGTGAAAAAAAGTAATCTAATTCATGAGGTATGTATCGTGAGGGCTTGCACGCAATGTGAGCACACAGTGCAAGGTCAGTGCACGATGAACACACAACACAGTACACCGCAAGTGAACGTAGCTCCCAATCATACAACTCCCCTCATTACAGAATGTGTCTGACCCAAAACACGGCAGCCTACGGGTATGTGTATATGTGCAAGGATGGGTACACCGTCATGGTGGCGCGGCCTCTCCTTGTGGCAGGATATCTGTTCCTGGACCAGTTTGGCTTCATTTCTGGAACCGGCTCTTGGCTGGGATTTGTGCTTCTCTTTGGAGAGCATGACACTATGAATCCTGGCTTCTCTGTCTGTGCAAACAAGATATAAAAGTTGAATCATTTTAGGTTGCAATTTCTAAAGTTATAGTTAGGGTTGGGGTTGGTTTTACAAGGAGTTAGAAGTATTTGCATTTCCCCCCAAATACCAAAGTACAAAGTAGTTGATGTGGTTCCAGGGCAGAGGTGAATCAAGCATTTGCCCTAGGCCTTCAGAGAGCTGAAGAAAGGTCCTTAATGGCCCTGAGTTCAACCACTGCATTTCATAAACTCTCTAGAGACCTTACACAAAGAGAACTTAATCTACAAGATTGGAGACTGCCCCACTGTTTGTGACTCTGCTTATCCATGCCTGTGAGTTAAATGCCTATGTTTCTGCTAGAGAAATGTTCCGCCCGAAAATGGAGGTGGGGGTGCCTGGGTAGCTCAGTTGGTTAAGCGTCTGCCTTCGTCTGCCTTCAGCTCAGGTCACGGTTCCGGGATCCTGGGATCGAGCCCCATGTCAGGTTCCCTGCTCAGCGAGAGTCTGCTTCTCTCTCTGACCCTCCCCCTGCTCATGCTCTCTCTCTCTTAAACAAATAAATAAAATATTTAAAAAAAAAAGAAGAAGAAGAAGAAGAGGAAGAAAATGGAGGCAAAGGTAAAAGCCTGGATGGCATTCACCTGCTACACTGGGTTTAACTGAATCCCTGGTTACATGTTGCAGCCTAAGAGGTTCCAACTGTGGCATGTGGCTTGAGCAAACTGGGGATGTCCTGCAGTGAATACCTCCGAGGAGAGGGGGCACCTCGTGGCTCACCTGCCTGTCAGGACAGAAATCCTCTTTGATTTGAATTTACCTACACCTGTCTTCCCACTGCTCTCCAAGCTCTGCAGTGTCATGGTGAGTGTATCTTGCCACCCCTCCTAGAGGACTGCTGCTTAAGGGAGGGGTCATGTCTTACAGTCCTCAAGGGGCCCCGCATCTTGTAGGGTCTCCCTAAGACACAGATGGGTAAATGGGAGCACCGATCTGAGAAGTCCCGAACAACAGCCTTGGGAGAACAGCAGGGACCTCCCCTTGGGAGAACCACCCATTCTCTCTAGTATACCCATGTTAGTCCGGTGGTTCTTAATCTTTGTTCGCCCTAGGCGCAGGTGAGCAGCACCCTTCCATAGACTCCCCAGGGCTGACACGACAGGTGACTAGCTGTTTCTCCACCTCTTTTTCCTCCTTCTCAGGAAAGAAAATGCAAATGCAAATGAGCAAGAGAGATGTTATTAGAGGGATAAATACTAACTCATTCTAACTTACTCCTTTAAAAAAGCAAACCATTCACAACATTCACAAACCTTGGTATTGAACAGTCTCTGGGACCTCTGGACGTGAGGTACCTCACGACTGATGGCGGCACCCCGGTTTGTTGTTAACATCTCCGAGGGCTGAGAACCGCTGCATTATTCACTATCACTGTTACCTCAGCTGCTGCCACAGACTTACAAAATAACAGCTGCCTAACAAATGCCTGCTTAAATGAAACTAAATTCTCCAGGGTAAGCTTTTAGCTCAAGGTGGGATTCCTCCCATCCTGCGGCACCTTGTGGGGCTGTGTCCCTTGGTAGTCAGGTGGCTTAGACATGCTCCTGAGTGGAGCAAATCCTAGAAGGTGAAACTGTGGACTGTGGATCACTACCCCTCCAGATCACGTCATACCCTTGAAAGCCAAATCAAATTAGTTGCTGGCATACATGTATACATCGTAGGTGAAATACCTGCATTCTCTCTTTATTCTTCGTCAGGATCAAGGAGGCCATTTTTGATGGGTCCAGGGAGGTGCCCTTGTCTCTCCCACGTAGCTGTGACGGAGATAAACGAACACATTCTCACTAAAGTTCCCACTTGCACAAGTGTGATTACACAGAATAGACGCTGAGGGTTTTTTATTCCTGCATGTTAAGTCATTACGGTACTGTAACACGGAAAGAGACAAGCCACAAATAAATAATAACTTGAAGAAAAGACGGAAACTAATATTCATGGAGTGCCTACCATATGCCAGGCACTTTACACAGTTTCACATCTAATTTTCTCAACAATGTTTATGACGCATGTATTATTACCCAGAAACTAAGTCCCAGAGTGGTTAAGTAACTCATGAAAAATGATAGTGAGGCTGGAATTTGAACTCAAGACGGACTTGAAAGCGGTGCTCTTGCAGTCATCACACTAGACCCCACATGACGCTCACTGTGGGCCGTGCTCTGTGGGGGTTCTTCAGTGTAACACAGTGGTACCGCATTATATCACTGCTAACCACAGGGTAGCATTCTGCATGAGAAGGGCCTATTACGCACCCTATCCACTAAGAGTTATCTTATATTTGATATTTATTTTTAAGATACTTATTTTTAAGATACAAAACTTATTTTTAAATTTTTTTTAACTTTATTTTTATTTTTAGTAATCTCTACACCCAATGTGGGGCTTGAACTCATGACCCCAAGATCAAGAGTGGCATGCTCTTCTGACTGAGCCAGCCAGGTGCCCCACCAAAACTTATTTTTATACATAAAAAAACCAAAGGGGCACCTGGGTGGCTCAGTCGATTGAGCGTCCAACTCTTGATTTCAGCTCAGGTCACGACCTCAGGGTTGTGAGATCAAGCCCCACATCAAGCTCTGCGCTCAGCAGGGAGTTTGTTTGAGATTCTCTCTCTCCCTCTCCTTCTGCACCTCCCCTTGCCTCTCTCTCTCTCTCTTAATCTAAAATAAATAAATCTTAAAAAACCCAACCAAACAAAGATTTTATAGCCACACAATTCCAAAGTACTAAAAAATGACTGGGCACATTTCCTCTGTGTTCCTACTTCATCCTACTCTGTGATGTAATTTCCTGCTTCCTTGTTAAAATCCCCAGTAGACTCTAAGGTCCCTAAGGCAGAGATAGTGTTTTGTTCAATGTTGCATTCCCAGCACGCAGTAGAGGGTGTAGCCTGTAGTGGTTGCATAGTTCAATTTGTTGAATGGAGGGATGGACAGATGATGCAGCACCCTGTTCTCATGTTCTAGGTGTAAAATCACAAATCAATGGTTGTCAGACTTCAGTAGTGTCTAATCCAAAATAGTGTCAATGTCCCCAGTAATTTTAAGGTTCCCCTGCTCCTGGTGGCACCAAGAGGAGGGTGACACAGATAGAGGCCTATTGTATTCTTCAGCCTATGGAAGAGACATATTAATTGGAAAAATCAGAGAATCTGCAACAAAGAGTCAAAGATGGAACAGGATAGAGAGCTCAGAAATAAACTCATGCATATATGATCCATTAATTTTTTATAAAAGAGTCAACATATACAATGGGGAAAAGATCGTCTCTTCAATAAATGGTATTAGAAAAACTAGATATCCACATGCAAAGGAATGAAACCATACCCCATCTTGTACCACACACTAAAGTCAATTCAAAATGGATTAACAACTTAAACTTAAGACCTGAAACCATAAAACTCTGAAAATAAAACATAGGGGATAAGCTCCTTGACATTGGTCTTGGCAATGATTTTTTGGATTTGACACCAAAAGCAAAAATAAATAAGTGGGACTAGATCAAACTAAAAAGCTTCTGCACGGCAAAGGAAATCATTAACA